GGACTTCTTTGACCACAAACAGCACTCGGGATTATTGTGCCAAACATTTTGAATACTTTCACGAAGTCATTGCTAAAATAATTTAATCAAATCTGTTAGTGAGAGAGCGGCAAACGCAATAGTTGAGTTTCGCGATCTCTTTTACGCTGTGTTAGCCTCAATTGTGTGCAAAATATTCAGAAATAGTCTTCTTCACGGTTACCTTCGCCATCTTGAAAGGTAGCCGTGCCTTTGCATCAAAGCGAGACAGCCGTTGAGCGTGCAAAGATAGAAACCTGTGAATAATTGTCTGTAGGTGTGAAAGAAGGTTTCTATCATTGCACGCTCAACGGTTGTCTCGCTTCGATGCAAAGGCGCGGCTACCTTTCAAGATGACGCAGGTAACCGTGAAGGGACTATTTAGATAAAACTCATGAACTTTCAAATTATTTTCGTTGTCTACTATACTCACGGATCTCTTGCATTTACATGGGCTGTTAGTTAATAAAATAATTTATCACATGGTTTRGAAGCTAAGACCKTGTTTACATGAGATAGGGTGCCCTTACGCGGTAGGGCTAACTCTTTTGTTTTCTTTTCCCTGGAGGATCTAAAACAAATGATTTTGCCTTAACACTAGGGGCACACTATCTCATGTAAACATTGACTAAATTAAACTGTTTACTAATACGATCTCTCATATCGCAGAGATAGTGAACATACCTACAAACCCCTTTGTAGCCATCTTCGATATCAAACTGCTCAAATAGAACCACCAATTCACCAGATGAACTCGGAGGAGAAATTATCCAGGTACAGTTTACATTTGAAGGGTAGTTTCTTGGATAATTTGGCGAGGTAAATATCCCCCGAACACCAGTTAGATCTTGCTGACATCCTTAAAGGCAAAAACCAGGCATCGCTTTTATAAATATGAACTATACCATAGTGTCTTAGTCACGATCAATACAAGTTTCAAGCACAGCACAGCACAGCACAGCACAGCACAGCACAGCACAGCACAGCACAGCACAGCACAGCACAGCACAGCACAGCACAGCACAGCACAGCAGGAAATCGATCCTAGGTGGCCAAACAAATTCGCACACCCTAACTACATAAATCAATATAAAATATATATTAACTAACGAGAATGGTAGGCACAATAATGAAGCCTTGCCTGTTTTGATGAACAACCCTCTGCTTCTGGGACCTTCACCGATTTTGGTGGCAGCCGACACCTCGATCCTGTACAGTGTCACATCCTTCAGATTTTTTAGGTAAGCCTTTGTTTTATCAGAGCTGATGTATTCCTTATCCCAGTAGCTTACATTCGTCCATGCCACTTGATAATACACATAATATCCAACAATTACTCCATTAGTGAACTCKTTGTCAACAGGCTTCCAATTGACAACAACACTGTTTGATCCTAAGTATCTGGCAGTTACATTCTGTGGTGGCTTGCTCGGCACTATAGAGTAAAGATCAAATAGCATTTATGCACAAAAATACATCATTTGAATTCAGTTGAGCAGCTTAAATTAATAGTTAATAGACGGGCTCTAGAGATACTTCAATCATGGCGAGTACGAACGATAACTCCAGTYCCCGTCTATCAGTATTAACTATTAAGTACTCGCCAGCATTGAAGCATGCGTCACGAAATGTTATGAACAGAGGTTGAATAATTAAGAAAACTTTGTTGTTTTTTTTTTATCGTCAAACATAACGATTTTAAACCTAAGTGCACTATGTCTAATATCTCGTGGTCGAACTAAAAAATGCAGACAAGAATCACTAATCTTACCGTCTTCGGCAGTTTTTACCAC